TGATACTACTTTGAAACTTGAAAAGAAAAAAAATATTTTTGTGAAAAGTTTTTCTTAGTCTCAAATGGAAATAGATGAAGAGTTAACTAAGAAACTTAAGGCTAAGGGGTTAAATTCTAAACAAGAGATGCTTCTCAAAAAGAAATCTTCAGAGATCTTGCCTGAAGAAATAAGTACATGGCATGATGAACAACTTCAAGCACTATCTCCTAAAAGAACCATCTTCTTCAATCCTGATAGAGATTCTTAACTGAAGATCAAGGTCATCCGGCCCAGAAATTCCTTCACACCTCCTTCAGACCTTACTAAAGAAAACTGGGATATTCTTGCACCCCCGAATGGTATGAAGTTCAATTTATGGCCTAATGCAATTTATCCAGTTGATCCTAGTGTAGACATTGAAGAGGTGAAGAATAGATTCTTCCTGAAGAAACCAATTCAAGTTGTCTCTGTATGGTCAAAGTTCAAGATTGCTTCAATTAACAAAATTGACATACAAGAATTAGAAAGATGCCATATGCATTCCTTCAAGGAAAAAGGACAAAAAACTATGAATTCATTCAAGGCATCATTGTTTTACTTGGTTTTTAAGTTTTCGATAGTGGTTAATATACTTGAGAAACAAAGTTTAGATTGTGTGTTTTTGTTTTCATTTGAAAACATGTGGATGATGTTTTCTTTCTGCTACTAGTAATTCATCTTTTTGTTAAATTTCATCTTGCATGTTATTACTTTTATTTTTTATTTTTACTCCTTATTTCAGTAACCATCACATAGGGGGAAACTGTTGAAATAATAGAAAACTGATTACTAATAAATAATAGAATACTCCTAAGTCAGGCGTCCATGCTTGCCACGCCTAGTTTGACAAAACTCATCTAACACACAATGTTAGAAAATGTGAACATTACTTTCTGACACTTTGGCATACAAAAGACAAATTGTAATCTTCTTCGGGTCAACATCTTCCACTACGATATTCCAAGGCTTTAGTACTAAACTTCACAACTCTTCGCTACTGATAAAAAATCAAGAGCACTATCGCAACAAAAAAACAAGTCTTCGGTCCTTCAATAAACTTCATAACTATCGATGGTCACTTTCATGCATCAACAATTTTCCCCTAAGTGACCTCGTAGTTATCCCTTTCATTTATTAAGTTTAAGAAACTTAATAATGATCCACCAAAACTTCCTAACTTTAACGATCCATTTGATTCTTCTAAAGATTTCAAACTTCACCTATTCAGTGGTAAACTTGGACTTTTGAACCATAGAGAGAGTGTCTTCAAGATGTTTTGGAGAGCAACGATGAAAACCAGTGGCTCGAAAGAAGAAATTTTCACTATCTCTGGCAATCTCTAATACAATTTCAAGTTTAGGGAAGTTTGTTGCCATGAGGCTTAAGTCTTGAATCCATTCGGTAATGAATGGAGAATGTTCAAATGGAGGGAAGTTCATTTTCTCTGCAAGAGCTGAATGGATCTCATCATCAATTTTTCCGAAGTCACACACGATAGCTTTGAGAAAATCCACAACCCTTATATATGCACCTTCCATCTTTGGGTATTTTTGAGCTTTGAATTGGAAGACCCTTACAATCAAAAAAATCTCTTCTAGATTCATAAAGATGAAGTCTGCTTGTGTTCGATGGTACTCTTTGCCGAAGCGACTGAGAGCCCCTTGATAGTGCGTTTCTCCTTTGAAAGACCTTGGTTTAAAAGTTGTAACGGCTTCGAGCATGTCATTTGACCAGATCTCCTACATTGATTTACCATACTTGTTGTGAAACAAGTTTAATCTTTCAAACGCCATGGGAATTCCTCAATCATCTGGGATGATCTGGTCAAATGGCTTAAATATAAGGATGTATTTAGCATTAGGAGAAAGAGGAATGCCCCAGTATACACCAACATGGGGTTGACCAAATGTAAGATGAGGAATATAATCCATGTCCAAGAGTGTTCACATCATATTTACCCAATAATTGATTAGAGTTTCATGAATTCTCATATCAAATCTAAGAGTCTGGCATATGTATTCGACTAACTTGGCTGCTCTCCAGTCAGCCTTTTTCTGTCTTGTCTTGGGAGAGTCAAAAGAGTTGTCATCGGACATAGAAGGTTCCGGTTCTTGTAACACTCATAAAAATCATGCCAAATTTTAACTTTTTAAAACCTTTCAAAACCCATGATTATTACAAAACTTGTTTTCAAAATAGTATAATGTCAAAGTATCCCAGAATCAAATCATAAAATCATAAAATACGAGGAGTTGTACGATCACGCATTCACCTTCCCGCAATCATCAGAAGTACCTGAAACAATAATCGATAAATGTAAGCTCGAAAGCTTAGTGAGTTACCCCCAAAATACCAACGCCATAAAACATATCAATAACATACAAGCAAACAGCATGCATAATGAGCCTTCAGTCCGACTGGAACGCCTCATAGGCCTTCAGCCTATCTGGACCGCTCTCTGAGCTTTCGGCACATCTGGACCGCCTCGCAGGGCCTACAGCCTATCTGGACCGCTCGCCGGGCCTTCGGTCTGACTAACATGCCCTCCTGGGCGTGTAGTCTATTCGGACCGCCCGGGGTATGTTAGCCTTCAGCACAAAGCAGGACCGCATCAACCCAATCCCTCAATCAAATAAACATGTGCACATAATATCATACGTTAGCATCTATAACAGTCAAACCGATCTAACAGATCATCAATCATAGCAACATCCTATAACCAGGATACAAACCTAACCGGTCACTAACATAGCATCATCCTGTATACCAGGATACCGACCTAACCAGGTCACTAAGCATATCACCATCCTAACTACCAGGATGTAAATCAATAAGCATATCATTCAATAAACCTGAATACAAATCCGATAAGGGTCGACATTTGTGCCTTAGACCCTGTTGATATAATGAGGAGATCTCACCTCCCAAGTAGCTCGAATCAATAAAGTCAATCTCTACCATTGCAGATCCAAATCCAACACCTACATCCACCGAGGACTCACTTCCATAAATTCCCAAATTACCAAAATACCCCCAGAGGTCAACTGGTCAACCCTTGGTCCAAGTCAAAGTCAACGGTCAAAGTCAACAGTCCATGTTGACCCAACTCGTCGAGTGCAGCTAGCAACTCGTCGAGTTCCTTAAGAAGTCAGAAGGTCATAAAACCCTCACTGACTCGCCGAGTTTTCGACCAACTCGTCGAGTCCATACGTGTCCACAAATCGGGGAAAACCCTAACTGACTCGTCGAGTCCTCTTACTGACTCGCCGAGTCCGTGCAGAAACCACACAACGGAAAAACCCTTCCCAACTCGTCGAGTTCCTTATCCGACTCGTCGAGTTCATACAGTCCATTTCATGTCCAGATGATTTTGAGCCACTCCAAGGCTCCAATTGGTAGATCTAGTCTCCTAGGGCCTAATTATCACGTAAAGTTGCAAACTTTACGTGCATGCAAGGTCTTAAGAGCCAAAACTAGACTAAGGAAGAAGCTTAAGGAAAAGAGAAGCCCATAGCTTGACAAAGGCTGAGACTTTATGACAATAAAGGGCTAAAGGAGTCTAGATATGAAGTTGCAACCTCAGATCTTGCCCCAAGACCGGAAATACCCACTACTAGAAAAACAGCCTTTTACGACGCGCAATGTGTGTCATAAAACGCTCAGACGACGCGCAAATGCGTGTCAAGGAAGGCCCTTTCATAACGAGAGACGACACGCTTTTGTGTGTTGTTTATTTACGACGCACATAGATGACACGCAATACGTAGCAAGGAAGCCCATGTCATAAAGGAAGATGACACGCATTTGCGTGTCGTAACCTTATGACGCACATTTTCGACACATATTGCGTGTCATAATTTTAAAATTTATAAAAAATATTATTTTTTTAAAAATATATATATATTTTTTTATAGATTTACTAATTTTCAAATTAAATGACAATTAATATCTCATAAGACAACATAAAATACATGGTATAACAAAAAAATGTATTTCATACAATAACAATCCAAGTAAAAGTTAGCATCAAAGTTACAACACAATATCAACCTAGCTCATCAGATGTAACAAAACCAAAACCTCTTCACTATCAAATGTAACAAAACCAAAGCCTCTTGATCGACCAGTGACATGATCTAGCATTATTTGATGTTCTATGATCTCACCATAAGACAAGAAATATTCCCTCATCTCATCTGCAAATCAAAGTTACAACACAATATCAACACAATATTCCTCTGCATCCATTTATATCACTTATATTATTCCATTTCAAAATAAGTGATTAATAATAAATTTACAATAATATACAAAAGAAAAATGTGAATATTGGTTATTATATTTAAACCTTCTAGACTTCGAAATATTTTAATTGTGTTGATGGCAATGCACCTGTTGTTTGTTGTGTGAGACAAACATTAGTTGTATTGTATTTCATACCACCAGTTTGCATGAAATAATTAAAAAAAATGTCACACCTGCAAAAAGAAAGAAAATTTTCAATTAATTTGTAATTTTGAACTTACTAATTTGAGTTTATTACAACTTTAAGCTCTTAATTGCTCAAGACTTGTCTCATTCACAGGTCCTAGATGGCATACAAATTAAGTTAAACTAATGACATGATTTAAAAGTATCCGTAGGGTTACAATGATGTGTAATGACCATGTCCACAGTCCACACATGGAAATCTATACAATTCTTATGTAATAAAATAGCTACATGAGACAATATTGCTCAAAAGAATCCATACGTTTCTTATGCAATAAACCTATCTATCTAATCCTTGCCTTTAGATAAATTCCACATGCAAAAGGATAGAAATTAGACTGATAGGAGATGTGATAAGTTCAAGTTAGTCTGAACAAATGAATTGACTCTAACCTGTCTTTCTTTTTTAGAATGCTCTGAAGTTTAGAAGGTCCCATCTAGTTAGCCTTCTGTCAAAAATAGAGTTTGAGATAATGCCTGATTAAAAAATGGTAAATTTGTTCCCTGCAAAACAAATCAACCAAAGAAATCAAAGTTAAATCATATTAAACCAAGAGAAAATAACCTGGAGATCGGTCCTTAGTAAGTGTCAAAGAAGACGTAACATCGGTCATGAGTTCATCGCCCTGAGATAGACAATCGTCGTTAACAGTACACATTATTATCCTGAATCATCGGACACAATTGCCCCTGTTGCTGATGCTGTAAAGAAGCATAAGAAGTCTCCTGCTTCAAGGCCTGTAGAATGGGGGACCGGAGTGGCATATGAAGGTAAATTAACAATTTTTTTATTTATTTATGTGCATTGAGTTTTATAATAAATAATTCAGATCTTGTTTCAGGTGGCAATAACGAGTCTCAATCATCTCCTGAGCTTCTATATCCCACTGTGCATGAGCTTTGTAAAATCTTAAATTTTCCGGTATGTTACTTTTTGACAAAAATACAAATGTAACATTTTTAATTATATTTTATTGGCTTAAAAAATAGAAATACAGGAGGATGTCAAGAACAAAGTGGATGGATTTCTTGATTTTGTTCTCAAGAATTATAATGTCAGTAGGGAGGATACAACTACTCTACAGGCATTCATGATATCACTGATATGAACTTTTTTTAAAGCCCTAATTTTTGACATTATTAATGTATTTAATGATGTCATTCATCATTTTAGTGTTGGATTGGGGCTTCTCTAGCAAAACATAAAATTGATAGAAAGGAGTCTTTTGACCTTGCAAAACAGCAATTGAATTTTGATTGTAAGAAAGATCAGGTGAATTCTGTTCACTTGAAGCTTGAAGAAGCTAAAGAGGATTTCTTAAACCAAATAGAAACACAAGAGAAACATGTTGAAATAAAAGATTTGAAATCGCCACCTCAAGGTATCTGCACAAAGTCAAAGTCAGTCGACCAGAAAATGTCAACTAAAATTTAACAGAATCAAAATGTTGAAGTATCAGTTGCAGAAAATTTAGAATCTACTGAAAAGCTAAGTGAAGAGATGGAGGAGTTGAATAGGGAATGGGATGACAGAAGGGCATATTTGGAAAATGAGTACAAAGTGGAAAAAGCTATTATTCGTACTTTGCAGAAGAAGCCTTCCATAAGATCAGAGAAGTTAAGATTATTAGACAAAGAATTTGCGAAAAAAATTGAAGAACATGAAAGAGATAAAGATAAATACCTCAAAGAGCTCAAGGCAACAAAAATCTTGCACTCCTTTTATTCTCGTAGGCATGGAACCTGCTCTACATTTTCTTTTATTCTAGCCAACAAATATCAACAGTCTGTAACATGGGTTTCTACAAATAAAAATGGAGCAACTTATGTAAATAAAGAAACAAAGATATAAAAATAGAAAAATAAGGATTGTGGTACCTGTTCAACAATTGATATGACGTCTATATGACAACTTCCTTGAGTAAATCAAGCACCACAATCCCCTTTGGGATTCCCAAAGCTAGCGAAACCAATGGATGAAATTTTCCAGCCTTGATCACATGTCAATCAGAGTTGAGGGCTTTGAGAACTGGAATCGGACCATATTTGAGCTGGTTGACCATATTTCTTCTGACATTTGTGTGCATAATACTCGAAATTCAGAAACCCTAGATGTATAAACCACGCTTCATGAACCCCATAGGAACAGATAAGAAACTCATAATCCATGTGTGTTTGCAAAGGAAAGGGGGGGGGGAGAACGAAATAGGGTTAGAATCAAAGGAAATATCTTTGGAATTAAAGACAAAATTTAGTAAATAACCTACCTGAGCAGCTTTGTACGAGTATATGGTAGCATATTCTAAGTCGTTTGCTTTAATTTTTCTTAGATCAACTTTTTCTCCAAACCCTATTAGTTGTTGGTACCGATTTTAGGGTTTCACATGGAACAGGAAAGAGGTGGTGATGGAGAATATGGTAGGGCGGCGATGGATGGTAGGAATGGTGGTGATGTTCGATTGTGTTGAGGTTGCAGGTGGTGAGATGTAGGTGCGAAGACCATGGTGGTGGTGCAAGATAGTGGTGGTCTGTACCATGGAGGGGGACTGTAGAGAGAGAGAGAGAGAGAGAGAGAGAGAGAGAGAGAAGAGAGAGAAAGAGAGAGAGAGAGAGAGAGAGAGAGATGGTGGTGAGTCTGATCGAGATGAGCATTCCTGTGGAATGAGGTGATGTGAGCGTTCCTGTGGAAGGAGGAGACACAACAGGTAGGGTTTTTAATTTTTTAGATTTCATTTCCCCCTGCTATTAAAAAACGAAAACACGCGCTCATACACTAAAATTATAAACCGACAGGGTAACACGACACAATTTTTAGGATAGGTGCCCTCCGTGTTTTTATTTTTTTTTGTTGGACACTAATTTTAGGGCGCACACAAATGCGTGTCCTCTATCCTTCCAATTTTGCAAAACTGACATTATTTTTTAGGGTACGCACAAATGAGTGTCCTCTATCAGCGCGTGTCATTGTTTGCGCGTCATTAAAGGGCTGTTTTCTAGTAGTGACCACAACAATACACCAAAAAGGGATCTAAACCCATGAATGAAGAGATCTAGCTAATGGAGAGCCAAGGTAACGACTTGTTACCTTCAATGTGATGCTAAGATGGAGTAAAGTCCAGATCTACAACTTCTCCTTGTTCCAAGCTTCTTGAACTTCAAGTTCTTCTTACAAAGATCCAGCTTCCAAGCTTAAAACACACAAATATGGAGAGTAAACACGATTTAGGGTTTCTGAGCTCAAGGGGGCTGTAAGGGAGGCTAAGAGAGGCCAATGACCCTTTAAATAGGGTGCAACACCTTGGAAATTAGGGTTTCATCCTCCGGCTCCAACTCGTCGAGTTGTATCCTCCAACTCGTTGAGTTGGTCACTTAAGACACGCGGCCAAAATCGTTCCTACTCGACGAGTCAGGGCATCCAACTTGTCAAGTAGACCTTTCAAAATGGAAATAAAGATTTAAAGTTTATACCTGAGATTCGGGCGTTAGAATTCTCCCCCACTTGAACTAGACTTCGTCCTCGAAATCTGCTGCAGTGAACAAATATGGGCAATGCTCTCGCATCTCAGCCTCCGGCTACCAAGTCCACTCAGATCCCCTCCGGTGCTCCCATTATTCCTTTACCAAAGGTACTTCCTTGTTTCGTAGAACCTTCACTTTCCTCTCCAGAACGGCCACCAGCCTCTCCACGTAATTCAGGAACTCATCGACCTGAATATCATTTAATGACACTACTTTCTCCTCGTCCAAAACGCACTTCCGCAACTATGAAACATGGAAAGTACTGTGGATCTGACTAAGATCCTCTGGAAGCTCTAGTCTATATGCCACCTTGCCAACCCTGGCAATGATCCTGAACGGTCCAATGTATCGGGGACCCAATTTCTCCCTCTTCCTAAAGCGGATCACACCCTTCCAGGGGGAGACCTTCAGGAGTACCATGCCACCGACCTGAAACTCCAGCTCAGATCGACGTCGGTCGGTGTAGCTATTCTGCCGACTCTGTGCGGTTTGCAGCCGCTGTCTAATTTGCTGAATCCTCTCGGTAGTCTGCAAGACTACCTCGGTCCGACCCATCACCGTGTTGATGGGTTTTATACAAACAATCCTATGTGTGCATGCAACCCTAGATACGGATCTATGTTTTCACTATTAGTTATACAACATTATGAACACAAAAGAAACCTAACATGCTCCTAGGTAATTTCGAATATCATAAACGAGAATGGAATACATACCTCTTGTTGTTATGTTGTAATAACAACTTGTATCTTGAATCTTCTTGTATTTGAAAGCAAGTACCACAAGTGTCGTACCTCTAATGGATCACAAACACCAAGAGCAAATGGAGAGGCAAGAGAGAGAGAGGGGATGTATGAAATTCGACTCTAGGAACCCTAGGTATCCAGTGGCCGAGTTTCTTATGCCAAGGGGTCTTTATATAGGTGTAGGAATTAGGGTTTCAGTCCTTATCCTTATCTGGTTGCTTAGCCACCAAGCAGCCCAAAGGATAACCCTAGAAACCTTATCGTGGACGAATTCTAAGGCCTTATCCCCTTGAATTTGTCCACCCTATCATATAGGGCATCCTTTGCCCTACATTGCAACTATCACATAATTATAGTTCAGTCCCCTAGCTCAATTAACTTCTTTTGATCACAAAATTAATTCTTAATTAATTCTCGACCAATGCTAACTAAATAAATATGATTTCTCTTTTAATATATTATTCTTATAATATATTAATAAACCATAATAACCTATTTCTCTATTATTTCTCCAGTCAAGTTGCTTTGGTGAAGGCAACCCAAAAGGACCATGCACAACCGGGTCAAGTACTTACCAAATATGGTTACGGGCTTAGACACTAATCCAACAGTCTCCCACTTGGATAAGTCTAGTAACCATAAAAGCAAGTACAACCCGATTAGCAATCGTAGCACTCAAAGACGCTGTCGAACTCTGATCTTATCAGTAACCTGTCCTTTAGATAAGGGATCATATATTCCTCCATTCTAGATATCGTATAGACATGAGACATGGATTATAATCATTCTCTCAGTCTATGTGTTGTTTCCCGATTTCCGATTTATGACGACTGACAACAGACTACAATTGAACACATCAACTTAGTCCCGACTTGGCCAAGCGCTTAGGGTTTCATCACTAAATCATCGAGGGGCCCACAGATATAGCTTTTATCCACTTTGGGTAAAAGGAACGGATAAACTTCGACTCGAATGCTCACTTGTACCTACTCATCAAATCACACACAACAATATGTTTTATAACACCAAGTTACTGGTGCGTTTACATATTATCAATGTGCAACCGATTTGCAGAATACAACTCACACATCTCGGTTTCAAGAATATAAGATATTATCGTCTCACCAATCACTCATGATAAAATCCATGAAGCGATCCAAGTGAGCGTGGGTTTAATCCAATACTCTAATCTTATAGCAGCACTCACGAACTCTGTAGCAAACTTGTGCTATGACTAAACGCTTTAGTGAATCTACAGACGGATTCATGACAATATTCATTTATTCCTACTTCCAAAGAATGAGCGACTGTGGAGGGTTTGAATAATCTTATTATTTGGAAAGTCAAAACATGCAAAGTGAAACACAAGAATAATACTAATCCAATATGGCCCCAAACCTTTGAGTATAAATAAAACACCTTTTATTTAATCATCATATTGATTACTCATTATTTGTTGTTTCGGGTAATCAATTTCTTACTTGAATTATAACGACAATTGTCCCATGCTCTTAGCATACACACTATGTTTACCTATGGTCCTTACTTTGTGAAATAGTATAATTGAATAACATTTTCAATCACACTCATTTCATAATTCCCAATCCTAACCACAAGTGTGAGAATACCAAATTCTTGCCACTTATAGAATATGTTAGATTCTAACATTTTATGCAACGGTCCTCTCGTAATATCATAGCGCCAAAGTCACCAAGACTTTGCCAATAAAATTACAAAGTGCACTATTGGAGATTGTTACAAGACAATTCCATAGTCATGAAGTCTCACATTCAAAGTACATTCCTTTGAACATCCTTCTTGCACAGAAGTTTCTAATCTAGACATAGATCCTTAACGTCCAACTCCCAATAAGGAAACATTTCCAAATTTTCCATATGACAACTCATTCTAAATAGAGTCTTATCTATTCATAATAATGTCAATATGGTCCATCCATGACTATACTTCCAATTGTCCGCAAGTGACCAATCCTTGAAGAACCTTGGATTGTCCTTGACAGTTGTTTAATTATTTTAGTCAAATCCTGTTCTATTCCCTTTTTCCCTCTAAATGCCCTAGGCATTTGTAAAATTTTAGAACGGTCGAATATTACAGCATATGCAATCGATCCTATACCCGAAGCGTGTGGGATACGATTCATAATGAAAAACGTGATACTTTACCAGTTTCTTGCTATAATATTGCCATAATATTTCTAATTGCCGTGTTCTCAAAATTCGAACTATGAAGAGGGATGCTGCAATCATAATCAAACTTTGAGAATGCAATTAATAAATATATCCTTGACTAAATTCAATTAAAATTTCTCGATCTAAGCTTTTAGATTGGAAACGAAGTATAACATTCTCTCCCTTAATTATAGCAAAACAACTTTTTAACCCCTGCAACTTTGCAAAATGAAACTTTTGTTTTCTATAATTAATATTGCCAACCTGCAACACTTAAAATAATAATCATTGCTTCCAAGTTATTTAGCAGCTCACCTATGCCAGTCAATGTACTTTCATTGAACAAGGTGTTTGCCCTTATGCAGTCAATTGAGAACTCGTAGAACTCATATGCATAATCAACTCAACTGGATTGGCATAGAAACAAGAATACGTCAACACGATAGGTTACAATCCTCAAGTCGTGTGCTAGTGTTTAATAGGTTTACTTCTTGATTTGTTCTTGAAAATTTTCAAAATCTTTAGACTCCCACTGACCTCTTGACATATTAGATTCTCTTATCAAGAAACATTTCTTGACAAAAAACAAATATCTAAGAGTTAGTGTGTGTCTATATCAAGACAAAACCTACACGCAATTCGGTACTAGTTGGTCTTTGTCTTATTCAAGACATCACAACTTACCAAAATGTGCAAGTGTAAGAACATTCCTACTTAAGATTATGTCACACAAGTCACAATCTTGGAGTATGACTCTAAGACTTGATTTTTGGAATGAAGTACGATACATCTTATTGACTTAACCATTTGAACAATTCTCCATTCCTCTTCTTAGCCAAACCAGTGCACTAAGGTATCCTTAGAGGATGAATTCTAATATGGTTCTTACGCTTACCAAGACGATCATAGAACACGATACAAAAGTACTCTCTCTTCTTATTAGATTGGAGAAACTTTTTATCTTTCTGCCTTCATTGATTTTACTTATTCGTTCTGCCATTCATTGAAACTTTTCAATGATTCAGAATTACACTTA